AAAAAAAAAAAAAAGATTTTGACCTTGACCTTTCAAAGACCTGTGAGGGTTTTAGAAATCTCCAGGCATTCCCTCCCCATTCTTTGAGAATTACTAATACATATTATCATTTAGAGGTGAAAAAGCAGCACACATTGTCAAACAAGAAAAAGGTATTTAAGTTAACTTTAACCTGCTGTTCTAGGCAGCTTTCCACTACAGTAACCAAAAAATGAAGATAATCAACCTGTATAGACAAGGTTTCTCTTGGCTCTAGTTGTGTCAGTCCACTGTTGGTCAGTCAGCCCTGTTACTCTGAGGCTGTGGCAAGACAACATATAGTGGAATAACTGAGTCTGTGGCAGAGTACAACCACTGACCCAGTAGCCCAGAGGTGAAAGAGAGGACGAAGGAGTGCCTTTCAGAGGTACACACCAGTGACCCTAGGCGCCCCCAGCCCCCACCCCCACCCCCTGGCCCCTGCCTCTTGGATCTCCTCTACCTCCCAACACCACCATGTTGGGAACAAGATCTTCACAAGCAGACCTTTGGGGCACATTTCCAGTCTAAACCACAGCGCATGGAAATTGGTGTGACTCTTATGCCGAACTGTCTCGGTTGTCTTTGAGAGACTTTTATGCTGACATTCCTCATTTTACAGGTCAGTTATTCATTGACCTACACTTTTGACTACTACATGACTGCTGCTGTGCACATGATACTTGGATCACCACAGGTCTCCATAGTTACCGTGTTTGTCTTTCCCTCATGTAGCATGGGATCCTATGTGGCTTTTTTGACTGCACTGCACCTGAAAGAAAAATATAATATGGAGCCAGTCCACTTTTTTGTGTCAAGTGCAACTCCTCCCTATGTAAGTGATTTAGTTTTCTTCAGAGAGGAATAAATAGAGGGTGATGTGGGAAGAGAAATCAGGCTATTTTTTTTTTTTTTCCTATCTGGCAAACTTGGTAGACTGTGGACATGATGGCAGGGGTACAATCCTTCAGGTCTCTTTTCATATCCTTCTCTCTCTGTTTCCTGAAGTCTTCTCCACAGTGCCCTGACTGGCGCCTGTGTTGTCCTGGCGCCTCCAAGCTAGTACTGACTGAGCATCAGTGCTTTTTTGCCTTTCATTTTGGATCAGCTTGGAACTTAATTTTCAGGAAAGCAACTAATCAGAGCCAGAAACTCTTAGAAGTATGGTGGCTTAAGCCTTATGCTCTGGTAGCTGTTGCTTTTCTCTGACTGCTATAACCCTCTGCAGAGACCCAAACTTCCAGGGACTTGAAGTCCAGAATGTCACTAGGTGACACTATGACACTAGAATTATTCAGGAACTTTCTTTTCCCTACTTTCAAAAAGAAATAGTCCTCCAAAGCCTGTAGATGAAATCCATTTTTTAACCCTGGTTTAAGGACATTTCCCTTAGCTAGTTTGCAGCTTATGAGCTCATATGTTTCATAAAATAACAGGCTTGTGTTTGTTGATGTTTCAAGTCCAAGGCCCTGATTCAGATTCCCAACATTGATGAACTTTCGGAAGAACAAATCAAACGCTACCTTATAGATTTTGGAGGCACCCCAAAGAATCTCATTGATCACAAAGAACTTTTTCAACAGTTTTTTCCCATCATACTGGCAGACTTGAAAGTTATACGTAAATTTAGGTAAGTAACTGAGATAAGTTTGTGTGTGTGTATAGAAATATATAGATTGGCAGTTCTCACCAGCTGCATATATGGGAAGAAAATATTTTAGTGTTGGATTTCATTTGCTGATTTTTAATTTTCAAAAAAATCTTTTATTTATTTATTTATTTGGTATAGGGTCTCATTATGCAGACTCCTAGTGTTCCCCCTGTCTCAGCTGCCCAGTGCTGGGGTTGCAGATGTATGCTACCACACCTCGTTTTGGTGGCCAGCACAGTGCATCCAGGGTTCCGGGGTGGCATGGCACTGGTACCTGGGATTGAACCCGGGTCTATGCACTTGCCAGGCAGTCACTTAGACCACTGAACTATCTCCCCAGCCCTGGATTTCATTTTCGTTGAGGCCATCTGTGCTATTTTTATTGGTTTAGAGTGGAGCCTGAGCATAAATATTATATATATATATTTGGCATATATATATGCCAAAATTGGCATCTATTAATTGATTGATCCATTCATTCATTTTGGTCTTTTGAAACAGAGTCTTGCTGTGTAGTTTAGGCTGGCCTTTCACTCACAGCAATCTACCTGTCTCAGCCCCCCAAGTGTTGAGATTACAGGTGTGCATCACCACGCTCACCCGCATTTTAGAAGGATCAACAGGGCTGGGGAGATGGCTCAGTGGAATAAGCGCTTCCCTGGCAAGTGCAAGGGCCTGAGTTCAATCCCTGGTTCCGCAAAAAAAAAAAAAAAAGAAGGATCAACAGGAGTGGATGTCTACTTATTGCTATTTGTGGAGGCAAACAGTAGGGAGCTGTTTGGTTTCTTACTGCTTTCTTTCAAAACTCATTTAGATTCATGACAACTCCCCCCAAGTCTCAAAAACCTGCAAACTCCTCCCAATAACATAAGCCTATGAATGACTCTTCCTAGTCCAGCTCCCCCAGAGCACCACAGGGGGCCTGCAGCTGGCCCTCTGTCACCCTGGCCTACTGCCATGCATTTCTTCTCTGGGCCTGGGCCTGTTATCCTGGCGTGAGTTTCTGGAGCACGGACATTTCAGCTGGCATTCGATTTCTTGCACAAAGCCTGGAACTGGCATTGGGCCACCAGGGGCTGTGCTTCCTCCCAGAAGTTTACTCAAGTACCTGAAAAGACAGGGGGCACCCAGAGAGTCATGATAACACCACCCATGTCCACTGTCCCTCCAATCACTGCCCATCTTCCATCCATCACAAAGTTCCCGACTTACCTCCTCCATACCCCAAGCCTCTCCACGGTTCTCCATTTCTACCCTGACCATCTTCAAGTCTCTGATAGTTCCAACATCTGGGTCTATATGCACCTGATACTTTTGTTTGTTATGTCTCTTAACAATAGATTTGCTTCTTGCTTTCTCATGTGTATGTTTTTATTGAAATCCAACTATACATAAGATGTTAGAGGCTGAAATGAATCTGAAATGCGAATGTGAGCACCCTTCTCCTTCTGTCATTAGAGAGTAAAGCTGAGCTGCGCCTAGTTTTACAGTTGCTATGGTCACCCTGTGAACGGTCAGCTCCCCTCCCCCCAGTCCTTTGCTGTTATCGCGGGGACTTGACTACTGGAACATTTTTTCTCTGTGCTCCTGCTCCAGCCCAGTTTTCATTCTTTTTTATGAATCATAAGGCAGGTGCTGCCCACCTGTCCCAAGGTGGGCACTCTCTCTGCCTTCCGCCTTGCTCCCCATCTTACTCATGAACCCTAGCAGGTCCATGAGAAGGGGCCTGTGAGTCAGAGAAATCACCATCTGATACTCTGCCCTGTGCTGGGTCTCCAACACTGTTGAGTATCCAGCTGATTTTATTGGGTTGGTGCTATGGTTTGTGTCTAGTTGTTCCCCCAAAGCCTCATGCTGTCATGGGGTGGCTTCTGGAGTTTGTAATTGATTCTTGACCCAATGCTGGGGTTACAGGTGTGAGTACTACACACTGACCCTGGGGTGGGTAATGTACATTACAATGCAAGGAGAGGAGAAAGCCGGGTAGCTGCCTGGGCTACTGCTCATCCCCCTTTGCTTTTGTTCTTTGCCACTGCCATAAACAGTTGTTTTGTGCCACCATGTGCCACTCTGCCTTGGAGCCAGCTAAGCATAGACTAAAACTTCCATTAACTGAGAGCTAAATAAATTTTTCCTCCTTTTGTTTTGGGTGTTGGGTATTTGTCCCAGCAACAACAAAAGAGTAACTAAGACAGTTGGATTTTTTTTTTTTTTTTTTTTTTTTTTTTTGTGGTACCGGGGATTGAACTCAGAACCTTGCACTTGCCAATCATATGCTTATGCCCCTGAGCTATCTGCCCAGCCCTTCCAGCTGATTTTAGAAGCCCTTCTTGGTATACCTTGCCATTCGTGAGCCCATGCCCATGTTCCTTCTCCTGAGAAGTGCCTGTCCTTCCTGGAACTCACTTTCACCTTTGCCCTCCGAACACAGCTCTCAGTGAGTTGATCTGGTGTCTGTTAGGTAGGAGAGCCCTCCTTGTCTTATACAACATGGGTGGAAGAGATATGCTGGTCCTGGGACTGAAAGAGCCCCTTTAGTTGGTCGTCTCCCGCTTTGCATCCTCACCCTATATCCACAAGGATGAGTGCCAAACTTGATGGCAGGCGCCCTGCCAGAAACCCTGCTGGCAACTCCACATCACAGTCCTTTAAGTATCCTACACTTGAGTAGCCCTTGCCCACCTCCTCTACCCTCATTTGTTCCCATCCCTCTCTCCTCTTTAGCTCTCTGTGCAGTAGGCCCTCATTTGAGCTCCTGCCCTTCCCTCTTCCTGTGTCGTCTCTACCTCTTGGGCCCCTTCTCTCCTATTCTTTCCAATCTCAGATCTGCTCTACTTCCCCCAGGAGACCCGCCTTCACCTACCCCATGCTCATTTGTCCCCAGTTGCCTTTCACTCCTGTCTGTCTCCCAAGCCAATGCTCCCCTCCCTAGCGGGTAGGGACCTTGCTGGTTCCCAACGTCCAGCACAGTTCAGGAAACAGGCTTGCGCTGTGTGGTGACACAGAGTAGGGGATCTCGCTCTGCTTCTGAGAATGGCAGCAGAACAAGGGAACAGGAGACAGCAGGTGGGCTGTGTTGGGTACAACAGCTAGGAGTGCTCTTGTGATCAGCTTTAGGAGATGCTGGAAGATGTGCTGTTTCTGGGGAGGTTCAGGTAGTCTCTGATAGGAAGGAGCAGGCTAAAGGGGAAGAGGTGAGGCAGCCCTGCAGGAGATCTGGAGTGTTAGCCATGTGACACAGCTCTGATCTGCTCCTCCCTCTTCATAGCTTCGACACACCCTCTAAGGCGGTCCTTTCATGTGACTTAACAGGCTTCGTTGGATCAGAAGACCTCACAAAAGATATGGAAGGTGAAATTATTTTCAGAGTTTGGGGTATTTTATTGAAATATGTGTTTGTGGCTTTCAGCAAATCTCAATTGGTAAATATTACCATGAATAGAAAATTGTTCTACTTAGTGTAAATAGAAAGATGTTGATCTTGGGTAAAATGAGAGAACTCAGGTACTGCTATACACTGATACGTCTTAGAGAAATTAAAAATACAGGACAGGAACCTGAGCCCTTGGAAGTAACTCTACCAGTGGGTATCAGCTCCTACAGAGATAGTATCTTAAAGAAAATCTTCCATTGTAGCAGGCACATTTGTTATTAAATAAAATTTTATTTCTTTTTAGCCTGGAAAATTGTAACCAGTGGAACTTTTGATCTTCATGTACTACCAGGAAATCACTTTCATCTTATGGAACCTGACAATGAGAACTTCATCAGGAACTATATAACCAAGTGTCTAGAATTGTCATCACTTGCCAACTTTTAGCTATTATTCTTTTTAGCCTTAAATAATCAAAAGTGTTGGGCCTGGCCTGATGATTCATGCCTGTAATACCAGCACTTGGAGACTTACTTTCAATGGATTGCAAGCTCAAGGCTAGCTTGGGTTTTCTTCTGATTTTGAAAATTATACCTCTTCTCCTAAGAGTGATTTGTTTAGATATTAATGGATGGATCCATAGAAATTTAGGTATCTGGGGATAAAAGACAAACAGGTAAAGAATGTTTCTTCTGCAGAGTCTTTTTATCTTTGCATTTCAAACTCAGTTGATTCTCATCTGTGGAAAGATTGTCAACAGTTTTCTTATTTTATGCTTTGGTAATTATTATCATCACTATTGTGCAGTACTAGGGATTGAAGGCCACATGCATGCTGGCGGATGTTCTGCTGTTCTTCCATCAGCAGGCAAGCACTCTATACACATCCCCGGGCCCCTGCAGCTATTTTAATGGTGTAAGTGACTGGCAGGGAAGATGCGAAGCACTTATTCCACTGAGCCATCTCCCTGGCCCTGGAATTAGAATTACTGGTTTAGCAACCCACTACAGTTCGAGGTTTATCTACTGCTTTATTAAACAAGTCCTGTCATCTGCAGCAGCAGGGCTCCAGCCCTCTTTCTGAAGGCAGCAGTGCAGTGAGCCCGAGGGTGCCAGTGCACAGCCTGGCCTGTAGAAATATAGATTTGAGACAAAAGCCTGATGTCTCAAGAGAGCAGGGAACAATAGACAGAGCCCGAGGAGAGTTGCTGTCTGTTTGCAAATTCCCAGAAAGCTGGGATTCAAGGCTGCAGATAACAGCTTCTCCTGCAGGTGCCCTGTCCTTTGATCCCTTGCTTGGGATGTTATCAGCTAGCATTTGTGTGGACCTAGTGATAGGCTAATGGTGGAAGTCAGCAGAGATAGTAGTCTGTATTCACTTAAGTAATTATGCACATTCCTTAATCTGCCTTTACCCCTCAATAAATATGAGATGCTTCTGAGGCTCTGGGCTCACTTGGAGAGAGACTAATCTCAGTGAGACCTCCGAAGCTACATTCATCAGGTCTTCTCGTCATTTCTTTCGGCACCGACCCGTAACATACAACAAGTGGTGCCCAACCCGTGGCATGGAAGATGACCAGGGGCGAGTTAAGAGAGGCCTGACCGCGTGGGAAACATATGCCCAGAGTAGGCAAGACCACCGGGAAAAGCTCAGAGTAATGGGAAACTCCACTTCAGTAGAGAATGAGTATGTCCGTCTTATGCGGATGTTACTCAAAGGAGCGGGTGTAAAGGTGAAACCAAGGAGTTTCAGGGAATTATTTTCCCTTATAAACAGGCATTGTTACTGGTTTAAGCCTAAGGGAAAGGCTGCTTTAAACTTAAAAGTTTGGAATCAAGTTATGAGAACGCTGTGTCGTCATGCCCATCAAAATGAGGAACCAATTCCTCTTCATGTGTGGGCTCTTTGTAGTTTAATTTCCTTAGCCTTGGAGCCGTTGCAATTGGACTCAGAAGAGTCTACAAAATATTTGAAAAGGTCAGCCTCAGATGCTGATATTCCTAAGCCTCAAGAGCAGCTTCCACGCAAATATGAATCTGCACATGAGAACTTTTTAAGACCTCTGCCTTCCTCACTTCCGAATGCAGAGGCCAGCATAGCAAAAAGAACAAAAACGGAGCAGGGGGCTTCTGTGGTGCATAATTATGCTAACGTTGCACCCCCTCAAAATCCCCTACAAGAAGGCCCTCCCCGGGATATCAAGAGTGTTGGTCCTTTAAATTTCTCGATGCACTATATTGGGGATGAGTCTGACACACCAGCTCCTAATAGGACATTTATAGCATCACAGACCATCTCAAAATCTGAGGATTAGGAGTATGTAGAACAAAAGGAAACTAAGAATGAGACAAATGACCTGTGAGCCAAGGTAAGGTAGTTATCATAATTGATTTCTAAATTGATTGAAAAAATGGAAGTCTCTACCCCTGAACTTCCTCCATCTCAGTTCACAAAAAAGTCAGCCCCTACTGCCATCTTTTAACCCTTCTGCTCCTCCATATGAGAAAAAGGAAGGCCCCATAAAAGTGTATAGAAGTGTGATATCTCAGGTTCTTCTGCAAGGGAGACAACAGGGAGACCCTGAGGCTTATTCTGCCCCTTTGGGTATTTTTCCTGTGGTGGTCCAACAACACCCCCCAAATGCTCAGTTTCCCCAGGGGTGGGTACAATGGGAACCCCCAACCTCTGGCATTCAAGGTTATTAAAGATTTAAAGCGGGCTGTCATGGCCTATGGTATGCAATCAACCTATGTGATTGGATTAATACAAGGATTAGCAAATGAACATAGATTAATTCCTCATGATTGGGAAGTTTTGTGCCGTACGATTTTAGAGCCAAGCCAATATTTGCAGTTTAGAACTTGGTAGAAAGATGAAGCAGATATTCAAGAGAGGGTTAGCAGGGGACAGAATCCCCCAGTTCATGTTTCATCAGATCAGCTCACCGGGTCAGGGGCCTGGCTGGGTGTCCAAGCCCAGCTGCAATATGAAGATGTGGCTGTTGCGCAAACTCACATTTGTCGCTTGAGGGCGTGGGAAAAGGTGGCAAGGCCAGGTATGCTCAAAAGTCATTTGCTAAGGTTCTCCAGTCTAATAAGGAGCCATATGTGGATTTTGTCTCCTGATTAGGGAGGCTATACACAAAACGGTGAGAGCACCAGATTTGAGGGAGTTATTGTTACAAACTTTGGCTTTTGAGAATGCGAATACTGAGTGTCAGAAAGCTCTGTGTCCCTTAAAGGCACAGGGTGCATCACTGGAAGAGTATATTAAGGCCTGTGCTGATATTGGCTCAGAGCCATACAAAGCTAATTTATTGGTGGCTGCCTTACAGTCTTTTTAAAACAATCTCATATCAAATGTTTTAATTGTGTTAAAATGGGTCACATGAGAAAAGATTGCAGAAGAGGACAAGATAGTAAGTAAAAAGGAAATAAGAGTAACAAGACTGCTCCAGGACTTTGTCTAAGATGTGGAAAAAGTAAAACATTGGACTAATGAATGCCGCTCCAAACCTGATAAGCATGGCCAACCCTTACCATCTCAGGGAAACTGGAGAAAGGGTCCATCATCCGGGGCTCAGAGATCAACAATACTGAATACCTGCAGTTTCCATTGGCCAGCCTGAATTTCAATCAAACACAGGACCACAGATCTTTTCCATGCAACCCCCGGAAGCGAAAGCACAGTGTTAGATCTGATGGCTGCGGAAAATTAGCATTTGCTCCCTGCTTGTGTTTACAAAATTAAAACTGGAATTTTCAGCCCTATTCCAAAAGATATTGTAGAAAGGAGTGATAGTATTGTAAAAAGGAGTAGTATTACCCAAGGTGTATTTGTACATCTGGTAATTATTGATAGTGATTATGAAGGATAAATTTTACTTATGATATCTACTACTAAACCTCTTCAAATTAAAACTTAAACGCTTATTAAAAATAGAAGTCAGCATCTCTTTATTATGTACATTAGCATGTTTACTGCATTGCCTGACCCTATTGTCAGCAGAAAACAACAAAAGTTTTGTAAAAAAAAAAAAGGGGGGGGGTTCTTTTAAATTGCAAACAGTTGATTCCACACTGTGAGGCACCATTGGGAAGAGGGGCACAAACTGAGATCAGAGAGGGCCCCGCGCTCCCATCCGCTGGTATCCTATGCAGACCCAGATAGGCATCTGCAAAATAGGTTCAGCTACAGAGGCCTGTGTTCCTGGTGCTAAGTAGGTGGGTCATGACCATGACATGCTGTGGCTCTATCACTGGCTGTGTGTGTGGCTGGATTTACAAATTCTTAAGGTTCAAGATCGTATCTATGTTTAAAATCTGGGCAAAAAGAAAGCATCCAGTTGTCAGAGCCAGAGCGACAGTGGGCACACACAGTGACTGCATGCAGAGGCCTTGGCTACAGGGCCATAACTCCCTTAAAGCTTAGGTAATATAGGCTCAAGAAAACCCTTTGTAGGTACTAAGACCATTAAGCTGCTCCTAGCAGCTGGGCAGCACACCTTGGAGTAAAATCAGCCAAAGACAGCCCCAGGGCTAAATGGTCTGCAGGTCTTGTTTGGTGTAATCGATGGTGTTTATACAAGCAAATCAAAGTTATAATTCTATCCACCCAAATCATTGCTTAAACCACATCAGATTCTTATATTGAACAATTGGTCATTCATTTTTGTTAAAAATTGTTAAATTGTTAAAAAGAAATAGTGGGTTAGAAAATACAAATTGATTAAAGAAATATATTTTAGCAGATTTTCAAATGCAAATGTGGGTGGCCTCCAGGTAGAGCAGCTACCAAGGTGAAAGGTCCCTGCCCCACATATTTTAAAAGACTATTTAAAATTCTTTTAATTCCTAATAAGTTTGATTGCTTGTTTTACTGTCATAAATTATACATGGCATTAAAAATAGGGCTTTGATATTTTACAAACAAATATAAAGGTTTAAAATAATGTGCAAAAGCCATGGGGTTTAAACAGTCACTTGATTTGACATTCATTTAAATAATAAAAGGCCTAATGGTGGCCTCCAAAGGCCATTCTAGGATCAAAATTCTGTTAAAGCAAAGGGGAGTCAATCCTGACAACTTCACTTGTCAGTATATACTATTAAATTTTTATACTTTTACAGCAACAGAAAGACAAACCAGGTAAGAGAAAAAAGGCTAAAAAGGGTCCTTTGGAGAGATCTCCATACTGGACAATGGAAGGGACTCAGTCCACTACTAACCTGGGGCAAAGGGTATGCTTGTGTTTTCCAGAGAATGCTAACCGACCTATTTGGGTACCAGAGTGTACTCTCAGGCTGGACCATGGAGCCAGATCTAAAGAAGTTAACAGCGACCAGGCTAGATCCAGCCTGGGGTCTATTCAAAAAACTGACTAAATGAAAATCTAAGGTCTAAATAGGTGACAAAAAGCATAAAAATAAAAAATATGCGTATTAATTATAGATGAAAGATTTCATTCCTTCCAAGTTTTTCTAATAAGAGATCTCTAATAATTGACAAATGACAAAATCTTGGCTAGTCTACTTATGAAATTTCTAAAAATTGTAATAGAGTTACTATAATTTACTTTGGCCAAATATTTGAGTGCACTCTTGATTTTTTTAAAGGGGTTTATGTGTCTGTGTGTCTATGTGTTTGTATGTCTTTCAATGAACAGCTGTTCCTTCCTTTTTCTTATTTTGATGATTTGTTCTAAATATAATTTGAGATATAGAGTTAAAAGCATGCTTTTTCCTGAATTACCAGATAGTCAAAGTGA